AGGTATAAAGGACAGACCTCATTACAATGGCTAACAGTGACTTAAGATGGAGGCCTCCCGTTGCAGGATAAATAGATGTGGATTTTATTTTTTATACTTTACAAATACATATTTGTTAAATATAGGGATGGATGAATAAACATACTATTAAAAATTTGGGAAAGTAACACTTCACCTTGAAATTTCTTTTGTGGTGGTTAGAATAGCAAATGCAAATTTAAATTCTAATACATCTATGCTTAGGATTTCAATGTATCTTCTTGTTATGTTTGTATGTTAATGCCAACGAATTCTCAGACAGGACCAGGAATACTATTTATTCAATTTACTGATGTTGAATATGTAGCATTAGATCCATATAAGCAGAATGCATGACTAAATTCCAGTGTAGGGAGAGTTTTACTAGATTTTATTTTATGGAACGTAATTGTAAATTGCCAGATGATTATTCAAGGTTGTTTGATTGCTTTATAGGTTTGAAAGCAAATGCTCTGTGCCCAAGAGTAATATCAAATGTCACATGGAGTATCCGTGGAACAATCACAGTGATGCGTATACCCTAGTAGGCAATTAAATTTATTGAGACAAATGTAAACATTGTATATGATTTCTTGTACCACTCAATTCAGTGATTGACCAAATCGAACCAAATAACACAAATGTTTGGTCATGCTTCTGGCTCATATAGGAAAGGAGTGTCTGTGAATATTAAATATCAAACAGGCCGCTGATAAATGCTCTGCCAATTCATATTTGTGTAGAACAACAAATGGGGCTTATTGAATATGCAAAACAAAAGCATATATAGACATGCAAGAAATTGGTTTAGCACCTAATATTTAGGAAGTGTTCTGCCAGCCATTTATCACTCCTTTCACCTCCCTGAAAGTCATTACAAATGATTGTAATCATCTTTCGATGAGTGGGTTTTTCTCTCAATTAAGAGGTGATTCGTTTATACTGTATTTTTGCTTGATTTATTAGATGGGGCCGTATGTACTACTCCTGATACTTTCTTAAAAATATCAGAGGAGCAAAAGAAATGTAGATAAGACTAGTCGCTTTAAAGAGTCAACAAGTTCTTGACATTATTTAGGCAACAAAGTGCTCTCACAGCCCTCTTTGTGGACAATGCTGTATCCTCAACGATAATAAACAAGGATTGATAGAGAAGGATGTAGATGAAGTTACGGCAGTACTCAATTATGTGAAACAGTTGAATGCTTTACCTGTTAAATTGGACTGGCCTTTTTGGGTGGTTTGGAACATTAGGCAGACAAATTGAACATTTTCGTATTATATATATACCGTGATACTACGTGTATGTTTTTTCTTTCAGTTTTTTTTTGTTCAATGCTGATAAACAGTGGCATGGAAAACCACAAGTTAGGTCTAATTCTCAGAGAAGAAGACCCCATGGCTGCCTATGACTCATGTTCCTTAGTGGACTCCTTACAGGCTCCTAATGTGGTTGAAAATGATTTTGTGACTTTAACTGAGACTGCACATCTGGTAACTCTTTCCATTTTTCTGTGGATCTTTCAAACTGTTCTGGATGCCATGCGCTTCATGTCCTGTAGCAGTGGAAACTTCTCTTTACAATGTCAAATATTTGGTTTAACTTGGTGAATAATGAAGAATTAATCATTTTTTAACAACGGGGAAGAGGAGAGGGAATAGGACAAACTGGTGATGTCATCCATCCATTTTTCCACGTAGTTTTAGACAGTACCAAGGTTAAGGACATTCCTGGGAGTTATGCTCTGAGACTAACTGAGTTCTGGGTCTGCATTAGGGGTGTGCAAGCTCTGCAGCCACACAAGGCACCTGGGTAGCATGGGCGTCAGGTTGCCGCTCTGGGTAATAGGTGTGAGAGGGCCTGTCCTGCAGGTCAAGATATGTAGCGTGGCCATGCGACACCTGGCTGAGGAATTCATTATCCTCCAACCTGAAGAAAGGATAGGGTGGATAGGGCGGGGATAAATTGGCATATGAGGCAGGGCTAAATGAGAAGTGGGTGAAGCTACATGGTCAGCAGTGCAGGGCTAAATTGTGGCTTGAACCAGATGCCTGCTACCCACTTTCCCAACAAGTTACAGGCAGACAGTTACACAGCTGGAAATCAGGACTGCAGTACCTCCAAAACCCCCCTCCTTTGCCCATAATGGAAACAGGTAACTGTCTGTAGCTGTGTGTGTGACTGTCTGCCTACAACTGTGTGTTTGAGACTGTCTGTAACTGTGTGTGACTGTCTGTACCTGTAACTGTGTGTATGACTGTCTGTCTGTAACTGTGTGTGAAACTGTCTGTAACTGTGTGTGAGAGACTATCGGTAACGGTGTGTGTGAGACTGTCAGTAACTGTGTGTCTGTGACTTTTCGCCTGTAACTGTATGTATGACTGTCTGCCTATAACTGTATGCATGACTGTTTGTAACTGTGTGTGTGTGATTGTCTGTAACTATTTGTGACTATCTGTTTGTATCTGTTTGTGTGTGACTGTCTGTCTGTAACTGTGTGTAACTGTTTACCTGTAAATGTGTGTGTTTGTGTGTGTGTGACTGTCTACTTTTAACTGTGTGAGAATGTCTGTCTGTAACTGTCTGTGACTGTGTGTGACTGTTTGTAACTTTCTGTAACTGAGTGTGTGTGTGTGTGTGTGTGTGTGTGACTGTCTTCCTGTAACTGTGTGAATGTCTTTAACTGTGTGTGACTGTTGGCCTGTAAATGTTGTGTGTGTGTGTGGTTACCTGTAACTGTGTGTGACTGTCTGTCTGTAGCTATGTGTGTGTGTGACTGCCGGTAACTGTATTTGACTGTATGTCTGTAATTGTGTCTGTGACTGTGTGCCAGTGGTTGTATTTGACAGTGTATGACTTGTGTGCATATGACTTTGCAAACATATACAAATGCATTTACAAATGCACCCATTACAAATATCACACATAGCCAATAGATATCATACATATCACACACAGCCATCATGCCTATCACAAACAGACAATGCACACATACACACATCACATCATATTTTATACAGTGGAGCTATGTAATAAAATGCAAATTACTTTATGTTTTATTGTTGGAGAGCTCTGTGATATGCTACGATACACATTACTCTGAGTTTTAATGCTGTGGAGGTCTGTGATAAACTGGTATATACCACATAGTACTGTGAGGGTCTGGAACTCATTGATAATTGGTTAAACAGTTCTTTAATGTGAGTTTTTATTCCAGGTAGATCAAGGTAAATATGGAAAATTCAGAGCTCCAAAACAAAAGAACCCACATTATTATGTGGCAGCAGCACATAGTACTTAGTCTGCCCCTCTGTAAAGCCGAAGAAAAAGTCTAGCACCTGTAGCTGGCACCTCTGTTGGCTGAAGTCCATAAGTAGCTGTCTCCCGAGCTCTGGCCAATTAGAGTGCTTCCGCTGATTACCACAGTAAAGCTCTGATACTCTTAGTACCTGAGCTCATGAGGGGGAATTAATCTTTGTGTTTTTAAGTAATTATTAATTTAAGAAATATCCTATACAAACACTGCACCCCTATGCACACACAATATACATGGATGAGGAGGTATGACCAGGCATGCTGGGCGCTGTGGAGGTTTTTCGCACAGAGCACCTAAAGGCCTAAGGCAAGCCCTGACTATGTTTTTCTTTTTGTGCTTTATTTTAATTCAGTATGAATGCATGGCCGTAGCCGCAAATACCATCTTCTACCTGGGAATGTTACTCACAGGTAGCAGATCTCAGGGAGAACAAGATATATACAATCAGATAAATGATTATGCGTGGTGGAAATATTTGGTTTGGTCAAATAATTTTTCCTGAAATGTAAATTTTGTTCATGTTTGCTTGATCGTGCGACGCTTCGGCACCAATATCCACGGGAAAATATTCAGGAAAACAGTCAGATGAATGAAAAAGTAAACATAATAGAGCTATTATTTGTATAATTTGCAGTATACTGATAGGTGCATCTTCCCGCCATCTGGTTCACAGATCAAGTGAGAAGTAACCAGTAAAGGTAAAATAGAAGAAAAAGGAGAAGGAGCAGTAAAAGAGCTATATTTAGCCCATCAATCTTTTTTATTGTGTGTGCCACATGACATGAATGCCCATTATGCCAGTTTTTTGCTCCGTTATACGTCCATATTGCGCTTTGGAGATATTCAGATGCACAATTCTAGTATATATCCTGTGCTGCCCTGAGATTAAAGGAACCCTAATTCTAAACCTGGTGTAGGCAGGATACAGTACTCCAGATGTTGTGATGGTGTGGACAACATCTCCCATAATATTCTCACAGCCATAATGCTGCCAAAGCTTCAGGGGAGCTTCTGGAGTGCTGAACATTGCCAACCTCTGTTCTAATATAACCCTACTGAGAATGCTCCTCAACCCTCTCCTCAAGTCACACCTAACAGTCCAGGATTTAGGGGTTACCCAGGTGTGTCTAAGGTGTTAAAAAAAAAACACCTTAGACACGCCTGGGTAATTCCTAAATTCTGGAATGTTCTATTAGGTGTACCTTGAGGAGCCCAACACTTCTTTTCCTAGTGCTAAAAAAAAATAACGATAAAGCTACAGAAAAGTATTGGGAAAAATGATACTTATAGCCCTCTTGATCTTCAGTCTCTTGGTTTATTATGATGTTTACAGAACGCTGAGGTGGTTATATTTTCCCATAATACACTGTTCATTATTGTATTTGGTATGCCTCTAATTTAATGAGCTGATCGTGTTTTCTAATACTGTACTGCATAATGGTGCAGAACAACATTAATGTGAATGACATTGTGCAGCATGGGCTCCTTTTCTCATACATGTCCCGGCCTTCATAATCTTTGTAGAAAATAATCAAGGCACTCCAATAGTTTCCAATTCTTAAGGCAATTAATTTGGACCAGGAACTACAAAGCAACGTTTCAGCCCCAACAGTGCTTTTTTCATGTGAGTACCCGGCCTTGATAATCGTCATACATGACCCAGCCTTAATAATTGTCATACATGTCCCGGCCTTGATAATTGTCATACATGTCCCAGCCTTGATAATTGTCATACATGTCCAAACCTTGATAATTGTCATACATGTCCCAGCCTTGATAATTGTCATACATGTCCAAACCTTGATAATTGTCATACATGTCCCAGCCTTGATAATTGTCATACATGTCCAAACCTTGATAATTGTCATACATGACCCAGCCTTGATAATTGTCATACATGTCCCGGCCTTGATAATCGTCATACATGTCCCAGCCTTGATAATTGTCATACATGTCCAAACCTTGATAATTGTCATACATGTCCCAGCCTTGATAATCGTCATACATGTCCCAGCCTTGATAATTGTCATACATGTCCAAACCTTGATAATTGTCATACATGTCCCAGCCTTGATAATTGTCATACATGTCCCAGCCTACCCAACATTTGTAAGAGTTACAATTCTGGGCAGCAGCTGCAAAGTGATATGCCAGAATGAGAGCTTGGGGAGAAACACAGTGATTCTGTTTCCCCAGCTCCTGGCACGAATGGTAGCTGGTGCCTAGGAGGGTAACTGTCAGTAATCTGTGTCAGCTGGGGCATTTAATGGCCAGTTATGGTTTAATATTAAAGGAACCCGAGCCCTAAAACTTTTTAGTTAACCTTTTTAGTGATCACTTTGTGAATTCTAGCCTTAACCGTGGCCAAAGAAAATGTACTATAAAAGATGCTTGTAAACCACTCATCCTTATTTATTATCAATCCTAGCTTTAACGTGATGTCTCCAACACCCCTAAATATATTTCTCCAAATACATGTTTTACCATTGTGTATCTTTTATATTACATTTTATACTTAGGATATGGTTTGTTTTGCGGTTAATATTTAGTGTTAGTGTAGTGCAGTGATTAATGATTAGCATTATGGTAATGTAGGGGTTAATGTTTAGTCTTAATGTAGTACAGTGATTATTAGTATTATGGTAGTGTAAGGGTTAATGTTTAGTGTTAGTGTAGTGCAGTGATTATTAGTATTATGGTAATGTAGGGTTTAATGTTTAGTGTTAATGTAGTGCAGTGATTATTAGTATTATGGTAATGTAAGGGTTAATGTTTAGTGTTAATGTAGTGCAGTGATTATTAGTATTATGGTAATATAGGAGTTAATGTTTAGTGTTAGTGTAGTGCAGTGATTATTAGTATTATGGTAATGTAGGGGTTAATGTTTAGTGTTAGTGTAGTGCAGTGATTATTAGTATTATGGTAATGTAGGGGTTAATGTTTAGTGTTAATGCAGTGCAGTGATTATTAGTATTATGGTAATGTAGGGGTTAATGTTTAGTGTTAATGTAGTGCAGTGATTATTAGTATTATGGTAATGTATGGGGTTAATGTTTAGTGTTAGTGTAGTGCAGTGATTATTAGTATTATGGTAATGTAAGGGTTAATGTTTAGTGTTAATGTAGTACAGTGATTATTAGTATTATGGTAGTGTAAGGGTTAATGTTTAGTGTTAGTGTAGTGCAGTGATTATTAGTATTATGGTAATGTAGGGGTTAATGTTTAGTGTTAATGTAGTACAGTGATTATTAGTATTATGGTGGTGTAGGGGTTAATGTTTAGTGTTAATGTAGTGCAGTGATTATTAGTATTATGGTGGTGTAGTGGTTAATGTTTAGTGTTAATGTAGTACAGTGATTATTAGTATTATGGTAATATAGGGGTTAATGTTTTGTGTTAATGTAGTGCAGTGATTATTAGTATTATGGTAATGTAGGGGTTAATGTTTTGTGTTAATGTAGTGCAGTGATTATTAGTATTATGGTAGTGTAGGGGTTAATGTTTAGTGTTAATGTAGTACAATGGTTATTAGTATTATGGTAATGTAGGGGTTAATGTTTAGTCTTAATGTAGTACAGTGATTATTAGTATTATGGTAATGTAGGGGTTAATGTTCAGTGTTAATGTAGTGCAGTGATTATTAGTATTATGGTAATGTAGGGGTTAATGTTTAGTCTTAATGTAGTACAGTGATTATTAGTATTATGGTAAAATAGGGGTTCATGTTTTGTGTTAATGTAGAGCAGTGATTATTAGTATTATGGTAATGTAGGGGTTAATGTTTAGTGTTAATGCAGTGCAGTGATTAATTATTAGCAATGGGTAGTGTGGGAGTTGATCTATTGTGTAGTGCAGGGGTTACAAATTCATATAGTGTAGGGGTTAATGTTTAGTGACCAGGATAATTTACCTGTTTATTTCTATTTTAATTTCCTACACAGCTGTGTTTATAATAATCCATGTATATGTATATGTTTGTGTATTCCTCTTTGATCTGGTTGATGATTTACAGAGACATTGTATTCTACAAACATGCTCCCACAATATCTCATACAGCCCTGTGAATGTCTGTGACTGTAGAAGTAAAATGAAATGGATATTGTGTTAAGAAAGAAACACACAGCCTGCCATGTATCCCTGTATCCCTGTGCCATTTCTCTGCTCACATCCTTGAAGCCCTGTTGAATGAAATGGCTATTGTGTCACTGTAGCAGGGAATCCAGCCTATAGCTGTGCATGTAATGCTTTGTACTATGCTGCAAAGCCCTGCATGCTTGGGATTCCCACCAACACAGGATAGTGTGTGGAACACCATAAAGAGAAGCCTCCCCCCTCCCTCTCTGCACTGCTCTTCCACTGCAGTAAAATGGATTTAATCTCTCTCCATCCCCAGAGCATTGCAATAGCTGGGGCTCGTGTTTGCAGTGTAATAATTTCTCTTCTCATTGTCCAACTGACTTGTATTATAAATCTGTGCCTTGGATAATAATCCCCATTCCTCTCCATCATTCAGGGAATCTATTCAGGAGACTCTGGACAGCAGAGCACATGTCCTGCATCCCAGTATAAATCAGGCAGAATTTATAGTATTTTATTTTTTTTATTTTTTTTACAAGACACACATGAATGGGGGAAGCTTTGCTACTGCAACAGCTAGCAGACCAAGACTCTAGCAAGCAAGGATCATGTGTGCAGCTAAGAGAGCCTGAAAGAAGAATAGGAAGGGGGTGACCGTCTTGTCTTTAAATTAGGAGCCCCCCTAGATCAATATTTGGCAAGCTTGCTGCTACTTGCTGCAGTGTTTGAGCTGAGTAGGAGAAGGCACAAGGAAGTGACCTACCAGGGCAGACCCCCCTACCTCACATCACATCACATGTGGTTCCTCAGGAGCCCTGGACCATTGGTGAGCTCGATCTGCTGGAGAATGCTGCGGCAAGTGATTCACAGAGGACTCAAGTCATTCTTCTACAAGCTGGGCTTATTTGTCAGCAGACACCCGGTGTTTTTTCTTACTGTGCCAGCTGTCCTCACTATCATCTTCGGATTCATCTTTCTGAGCCGCTACAAAACGGAGAGGGACCTGGAATCTCTGGTGGCCCCAAGCCACAGCCTGGCCAAGATAGAGAGGAGCTTGGCCAGCAGCCTCTTCCCCCTGGACCAGTCCAGAAAGCAGCTTTACTCTGACTTACATACCCCTGGGAGATATGGCAGGGTGATCCTGGTCTCCAAACCTGGTGGGAACATTCTACTCCAGGCTGAGCAGATACTTCGTATCCATCAGGCTGTGCTGGAGATGAAAGTCAGCCATGGGGGTTACAATTACACCTTCTCACATCTGTGTGTGTTGGGCAATGAGGAGAAGAAATGTGTGTTGGATGAGATTATTTCAGTGCTAGAGGACCTCAGGCAGGCTGCTCTCTCCAATAAGACAACAGCCAGGGTGCAAGTCAACTATCCCAAGACTAAATTAAAGGTATGGACCTGCTTGATGTCCACCCAGAGGACAGCTCTGAATAAGGACCTAATATCATGTTTTATGTTTTTTCATCAAACATTCTTTAATTTATCATCATACACATTAATTCGGATCTAAGGTCCTTTCTATGTCAAAGTTTTATTTTTTAAAACACCATGACTTTTTTTATTTTGTTATCTTTTTTTTAGCACAAGCAACTTGCCTATATTTAATATTTCCCAGTTTTTAATTATTTCATTTTTATTTCTGTTTGCATGTGCTTATGAATATGTGTAGTGTGCTTAGGAAAATTAAGATAGTTTGAATACTTGTTGATGTAGAATGATATGCAGGTCCCTCTGCATTCATATTTTACATTCATGAGTTAAGTATTTGATAATAACAAGCTGTGATGTAAGGCTTTATAACAGTATGTGCATTAAGCTATGGTCTACCTACCTGCACTGCATTGATTAGCAAAGCCTGTACACAGAGGTAGATCTGTGTACACAGTATTCCAGGGATGGGTGAACATTTTATGTTCCACACATTGTGTGCTTGTTACTTCACTCATTACAGTTTTGTATTCTTCATATTTATGCCCAAGTGTTTTATTTTGTTAAATATTGTTCTTTTGGAACATTGAAATAAACCCAGATACAATGTATGTATATAGCAGTGTAACAGCTTTGCAGCAGCATAGTGCTTGTCTACCATGTTATTCTCTCTTTACACACACTTAGAAATATTAGCAGAAATAGTATTACATGGTCTATATTATCCTGTATTATACTTTTCTATTGGTTTATGTTTTTTATATAAAAATGGCAAATTGATATATTAATATTATGGTTGCATTAAATAATAGTATTTAAAACACAAAATTTTGGGAGGTTTAGACATTTATCTACATTTAATTTATTAGGACGAAATGCTGCGTCTATAACATTTATAAAAGTTTTTTTTTTTTTTTGCAATTTATGTAACTTGGCTTTATAAGTGGTGTTAGTGTTAGTTTTATTTGTAGCATAGTGTGAAATATATGGATATATAAATTATGGCTACATTGTATAGTGCTTCTAGATGAGGAATGTCAGTGATACAAGATCTTCAAAACTTCACTCCTGTGATGTCTCCAGAATGAGTACAATTACAGCAATAGAGAGTTTCTAAAATGAGACAGAATGTACTCACATTGAGACCCCTCTACAGATCTACTGCTGGAATATTTGAAATACCTGTCCTTTCTGGACTTGTCTCTTTACATCTGTAGATGTATGGTTCTTGGACAAAGCAATATCGCTGCCATATTTTGGGGCATGTTTATAATAGTCAATTAGTGAGTCAGTGACTGTAGTATTGCCTAAAGAGTTGCATGCACATTATAAAAGCAGCAATAGAGATTCCTCTAGAATGTGACTTTGCTACAAGCCACCTAACACAAAATGTCAGTTATTTAAGGGGAAGAGAACTCTGGTAAATAAAACAGAAGTTTAAGGGGGAAAAAAAAGCAGATTTTGTTTTCCCTGGCCAGGTAACTGGAACAACTTGGTGTGCAAACAACTAGAATTAAAGCAGAAGTCCGGAAACTAATAAACAGAGCAGTAGTGATTCTGAGGCCTCCAGCATGGAAGTATGGATACAGTGTGACCTCCTGCTGCTTCAGTATCCCTTGTAGTATAGCATTGGACCATGTTCGGCAAGCTGAGCTCACACCCAGTTTTTTTGCTTTTCTGAAAAGCAAAAAAACTGCCAAATGTGACAGATGCCAAATATACACATTGTTGCCCGAAGTGAAATTTGACCGATGGTATCATCTTTAGCTAGCTAATGTTAATTATGTGCATATTTGGCATCTATCAGCACAAATACTGGCAACAGACAACCAATAGTGGCCAACCCGGCCCGCCCAATGCCATGTTTTTCCCTCGGGATGTCCTTCTTCCTGCAGTAGAAGGGGAGGAGGTAGGGGAACTCACTGGATGAGAATCACCCTGCAATGAGAACTTGGCCTAGGAGCTGGGGTCAAAGGTGAGTTTATGCATTATTTCTTTTTTAACATATAGTGGTTCATGCCAGTAAGGGTGACTCTGAGCAAAACATTTTTTTAAATTAAAACACTGTTATTGGTTGGAGTAAACTTTTACATATGGTAATATGAATACCTAGTCCACATGTTTTTTAAATTCTTTTTATATAGTTTTTTTTTTTAAATACCATGTTGATAAGAAAATACACTTTGAACAAATTATACTGTAAAAGATTTATATATAGTCCTCCCTGTCACGTTTGTGGAAGATGCCAATGGCCAAGGTCATATTCTAAGGCAGGTGTAGCTATCCTTGACACCTGAGGCTTTAGGTTGACAATGACGATCATCATATAAACACAGTTCAGAATATGGATGCCACTTTTGTTTTTAGAGCAAAAGTTGAGATGTTATGGAGCAAAGTGATAAAGTGGTGATAAGGTGACTAAAAATAAAGGACAAGTGTTGTACATAATATCATTGTAAAGAGCTCTATACCTTGCTGTTTTAGAGCTTACGCTAGTCATGTTTTTTTTAATGTTTTAAATATAGTTTTCTTTCTCCCGTTAGATTAAATATAAATAATAAAGAGGATGATTGGTTAACATTAAATATGGGAAAGTAGTCATATCTTTTCATAGGCTCTGGAACACGTGTATATTTTCCTAAATATGTTAGACTATTAATAGTTACGTTTTTACACTCTTTTCCTATACATTAAATTATCAAAGCATACCCAACCATTGCTGTACTCCAAGTTTGATGTCACTGATATTTACTCTACAAATCATGCAATTCATGCAATTCAAACTATTTATATCTTTACAAGGATAGAGGAACTCTTACATGGCAGGACAGAAGGGGACATACGTTTAAAGTCCTTTGCTATGGCACGCACTAATAAATGTGTTATTGAACACTTGGCTTGTGCACAGGGGAAAGATTTGGTTTGGCCAAACAATTTGATTTTGAATATTGTCAGTGAAATATATTTGGAAAAAGTGATTCAGGATAACCAAAAATGGCATGCACATGGGCCAATCAGTGCTCTTATAGGAGGTAAATGATATGTGTGTGTGTATGTGTGTGTATGTGTGTGTGTGTATATATATATGAATGTGTTTTTACACAAAGTGAACATGTGTACAATATATAACATATATTGATATTTTATTGTTTCTAATTTTTTTCCTCTATTGGTCACTTTTCACTTGATCTGTCATAAAAAAAATTCACATTTAGTGACTGTTGTCATCAATAAAGTAATCAATAGTGATGTCCCGAACGGTTCGCCGAACGGTTCGCCACGGATGGCGAACATATGCGCTGTTCGGTCCGCCCCCTATGTCATCATTGAGTAAACTTTGACCCTGTACCTCACAGTCAGCAGACACATTCCAGCCAATCAGCAGCAGACCCTTCCTCCCAGACCCTCCCACCTCCTGGACAGCTCACTAAGAATGCAGCTTCACAATGAATGTAAAATGGATGCTGTCCAGGAGGTGGGAGGGTCTGGGAGGGAGGGTCTGCTGCTGATTGGCTGGAATGTGTCTGCTGACTGTGAGGTACAGGGTCAAAGTTTACTCAATGATGACATAGGGGGCGGACCGAACAGCGCATATGTTCGCCATCCGTGGCGAACCGTTCGGCGAAGCGTTCGGGACATCACTAGTCATCAATCATCTTTTTTCCCATCAATCATCACTTTTTTTGACATCATGGGCAGAACTCCAAATCACAAATCAAACAAACTCGTCCATTGCACAAGTCATTTAAAGGAAAAATATAAAAACCCATATGGCGCCATGGAGTTACAGAATGTGGAAGACCCCCTGATTAGCTTAAATTCGGACAAACTGCAGTTTTGGCCAAAAATTAATACATAAATAAAGTTGTGACATTATGTATGCAAGTGTAAAACTAAGCAGGAGGAAGAATTTTAGAATAGGAGAGGCTGGACAGAGGAGGCAGGGTTAAGATGCACAATGCAGCTAAACTAGTTAGTTTTTGGTATACTTTTGGGTTTTTGCCGTTTTGCTTTCTCTTATAAAGAAGACTCATACTAGGAAACACTAAATAATGAAGGCAGTGGCATTAAAGCCCTGCAGGGACTATTGTACCTTTTTGTATTTTCACTTCTAGCTGACGTCCTGTAAGAGGCTTGATGCATTTATTGAGTAAACTATAAACCTCTAAAGCACACATTACTGGTATTTTGAATTTAATCTCATTGACGTAAGTAGCCGATTTCACTTGAAATTGATTTAATTAACCCAATGCTTCTGAAGAAAACAATGAGAGCCCAGTCATTCTCCTAATCAAACAACCGCCATAGAGTATTTTTGATATTGCAGTCTTCTTTTTTTTTTTTTTAACTTTTAGTTCCAGGCCATAATCACATAATTTACATGATTACCCTCATGGGTCAACAAGATGTTACAATCATTTCTTTTTAAATTCGGTTGAGTTTTAAAAATAATATCCATGTTTCAAATAAAGTGATCTACTTTCCATACAAACTTTGACAATACTAGGAAAATACTGCAGATTTACAAAAAAGTTTGTATAAAAGAAACAATGTCTACTCGCAGATGGGGTGCAAAGCCCTTGCTAATGCACATCCAGTAATACAAGCCCTTGTGGTCTAGTTCTTTAACCCCTTAAGGACACAGCTTCTGGAATAAAAGGGAATCATGACGGAATATTTCCATCATGTGTCCTTAAGGGGTTAACTGAGTTAACTAGCAACAGGCCTGTTTGAAGGAAGCCTACTGCTACACATCCAGATAAACCTACTTAGACGCAATGCCTACCTCTGATGTTCACCTTAAGTACTTCTCTAGGGCTTCACCGTTCCTATGGAACGCCATTCCCCTTTCTGTTAGACTTTCACCCAATCTCCACTCCTTCAAAAAAATCTTTGAGAAAGTACTTCTTTAGAAAAGCATATCAATTAAACCGTGAAAAGCCTTCCCTTCCCGCATCCTGATTCCTCTCCTGAAACTGTCATCAAAACTATACACTAAGCCCTCAATGCTCACTATCCTAGCAACCTATGTTTCTATCACTATACCCCACTCCCTCTAGCATGTAAACTCACTGAGCAGGGCCCTCAATCCCTCTGTTCCTGTGCGTCCAACTTGATTGATTACAAATATGTGTCTGTTAGTCCACCCATTGTACAGCACTATGGAATTTGTTGGC